AAATATAACACAAATATAACACTCTTAAGATACCAGAGTCTACCAGAGTGCTAAAGTCAGATTTTGTCATGTTTGACTGTTGCCAGGTGGTGTCACTGGTACCTACATGAGCAATAATTATATTGACTGAATTAGGGAGTGTAGTTAGAAGGGATTTGAGTTCAACTGGCATAACGGACACTGGAATAACTGTTTTTAATAGACAGTAGGTTCTGCTGGCATTTCTGGTGGATGGTTGGTGGACTTCATAGGTGAGGCAGAGTGGGCAAGTGCACCTACAGTATAGGTGAGCTGCAAATCTGGTAGTTGGAGAGAGGAAGAGCATCATGCTCTGTTTTTATTGCCACCTGTGGTGCAGTGATCAGCACAGTGGAACAGGTCAAGTCACCTTGCGGTGCCATCGTAGAGTAGCGGCCCACAACATAAGTTGCTGGATGAATGGCTCTGACCACGGAGCTTAAGGGAATCGAAGCGTGTGTTACTTCCAGAGATGCTGGGTCAGCAAAGATCCCAGCCGGAACCCGTCCGTCGTCCACCACTGCACCAAACTAATTGGACTGAGTTTCAATGACATTATTTCCTTGGTTAATGGTTGTTTTAGCGTGACTATCGTTTTAGCTTGTTCCACAGCAACGTTGGTAAAACTGTGAAGAAGTTCTGCTTTTTGTTTGAAGTCCAAGACCTCCACGTGTTGTCCTTTGGACTGGATATATCCTCAGTTGCATTTTTTACTGGATGCACTTTTCAAACATATATCCTTTAGGTAATTCATAGGCTTCTTCTGAAATCCCTCATTTAATCATTTTAAAACAAATACCACTGGAAACATCTCGTCTGTTCTGTAGAACAATGGTTCTTGTACAGATGCAATGAGTCTTACACACAATGGTTTCTTCTGTGGCGACCGTGGCTCAGGGGGTTGGGAAGCGTATCTGTAACCGGAAGGTCGCCGGTTCGATCCCCGGGCACTCTGTCCTGATCGTTGTGTCCTTGAGCAAGACACTTCACCTGCCGCCTACTGGTGTTGGCCAGAGGGCCCGATGGCGCGATATGGCAGCCTCGCTTCTGTCAGTCTGCCCCAGGGCAACTGTGGCTACAACCGTAGCTTGTCTCCACCAGTGTGTAAATGTGAGAGTGAATGAATAGTGGCATTGTAAAGCGCTTTGGGTGCCTTGAAAAGTGCTATATAAATCCAATCCATTATTATTCTGAAGAGATGAATTTTACCACTGTACTGTAACAGAATGCCAAATGCAAAACTGGAAGTGCTTAGGGATGACAGCAACTTAGCCAAAATGTGGCAGACCATTTAAGTTAGAGAGTGGCATTGGAGAGTGCTAAGACACATAGTGCTTAAACATCACAGAGTTCCAAGCTTACTTGGGCATTAACATTAGCACAAAAACAGTGTTTTGGGAGTTTCATGGAATGGGTTTCTATGGTAGAGCAGGTATGTGTAGGTATGATTCAATTTAGTTTTATTTATACAGCGCCAAATAACAACAACAGTCACCTCAAGGCACTTTATATTGTAAGGTAGACCTTACAATAATGCATACAGAGAAAAACCAAACAATCATACGATCCCCTATGAGAAGCTCGTTGGTGACAGTGGGAAGGAAAAACTCCCTTTTAACAGGAGGAAACCTCCAGCAGAACCAGGCTCAGGGAGGGGCGGGGCCATCTGCTGGGGGTTTCCTCCTGTTAAAAGGGAGTTTTAACAGGAGGAAACCTCCAGCAGAACCAGGCTCAGGGAGGGGCGGGGCCATCTGCTGGAGGTTTCCTCCTGTTAAAAGGGAGTTTTAACAGCCTGTAGTCACCCACTAGTTAGCTAAACTAACTAGTGGGTGACTACAGGCTACTTTGCAAACGTGAGGACATTATCAGTCTAATTCAGGTTAAGAATGTGTATTTTTGCTATATAAGTGTATTTTCTCAGAACTATGAAGAACAGTTGTAGGACAGAGGTCTCAGGTTTTGGTCCACACACAACTATATTTAAGTATCTTGCTAGAGATATTCAAAGTGAGAAAATCCACGCTGCCGCCTGTTCTGTTTTTCATTCTTTTCCCCTCAACTTTCATATCATTGTTGTTGGAGTATTTTGTTTAATGTCAAAAATGTCCTTGCATAAAACAAAATGAGAAGGCTTTTGTGTGCAATTTTACATGACTGTGTTACTGTAGAGTAATTGTGATTGTGTTTGTGTTATCTTGTCTAACATATGTGGGAGTGGGAAACCCACATTAGGCAGTGAAAAACTGAAGTGGTTGGATGATAAAAAATATGTTGGAAAAGGCCTGCTGAGACCCCTCCCCACCTTAAAACACACACACACACACACACGCCCTGATGTCGTCCACATTTAACTTATTTTCTTCATCTGTGTTGTAGTTACCTGTTTTGTCCTGCCATGCACAGGCTTCTGTGACGTTACTGCAGTTTAACTACAGCTAGGCTGTATCAGCAGCAGGAATGTGAATAGGAGGTTCTGTGACAGTCGAGAGAGGCTCAAGGTATCTTCAATATCCCACATGACCTTGCAAATTCATTATCAGAACTGCTCACAGACACTCATGTATCACTGATAGCTTTCTTTGTTTAAGTGAGAGGGCCAGCAGAGACGGATTAAAAAGAAAACCAAACTGAGATGAAATTGTCAGAAGTGTTGGAATTAATACTTGTTTCAAGCCAAATCTTTGAGTTTTACCTGCCCTCATGCAGCTACGGTTACGTGACTGGGTTCATAAACGAACCAGCAGAAGGGACAATGGACTAAATGAAGCAAAACCAGTTTAAGGTCACAGAAAACAGTCTCTCAAGGATAATATATTCTTTGTTTGTGTGGAATCTTCCGACTATCCCTCCTGCATAATGTAGTGTGCATGTGTAGCGGTGTGTTGGTGCCTGTGTACATTGTCACAGTTGTTTATGGCAACATCCTTGAATCTCAGCTGGCGTTTTAATCACAGTGCAGCATCAGACAGAAGCGCAGCTTTGAGTGGATGGAACGAATCGCTGTGTCACACTGTGAGGTGGAGTGTGACCTGCAACCACAGGGAATTATCAAGAGGATGATAAAGGTTTCCCCACTTCTCTATCTGGCTTCAACTTGTCTTGAAAAACTTTTAATTATCCGCTTTTCTTTGTCAGGGTGTAATTTGCTTGCACACAGATCTCAGATATTTCAGACTAGGACCAGGAGAATTATGGGCCCCAAACTAGACAGGTGTGGTTTCATGATGTCTCTATAATTAAGACGGTGTGCATCTATGCACAAAATAAGATGATCTCAAATTGAGCGGCCTGATGATATTACACTTTCTTGAAGACGTTTCATCCGAGAAGCTTCTTCAGTTCTAAGAGCAATTGGTGGAGAATCCCAGATTTTAAGCCCTTAGGGAGTATCCCTAAGAGGGTCATGGACCCCCTATTGATCCTCTGCCTAATAACAGGAGCCAAGGTGTGAAAACGGGTGTTTCAGGTAAACCCACTGTGAGACCTTGTCACACCCTATCATGTGATTCACTGAGGTCAAATGACCCAGGATGTAAGTGGGTGTTAAGGCGCTGGGAAGAGTCTCAAAACGGGATTATAGATGGAAGACAGTTGGTGTCGTAAGCCACCACCTCTGTTAACTGGGTTGATAAGAATGATATGAGAAATCTGAAAGAGATAAGCAACCGCTTCAATATGGTCCATTTAACTGAAAAACCAAGGAAACAAGCAAATACACGCTTGAATAATTATTTTTATTTGTATTTGTATTTGTATTCTATTTTTATCTTATTGTATATTTATTTTATTTTATTCTACTGTATATAGTATTTTATTTTATTCTATTCTGTACAGTTGTGTACTGTATTTATTCTTATTGTATTCTAATTTTTGCCTCATAACTTTTGCACTGTCCACTTCCTGCTGTGACAAAACAAATTTCCCACGTGTGGGACTAATAAAGGTTATCTTATCTTATCTTATTTACTGATGCAGTAAACTGCTCAGCATTTCATGACGTAGTCCCAAAACCCAATACTTAAATCTGTCAAGAGGCTTGAAGGAGCTAGGTTGCACTGAAAGTGATGATGTTACAATAAATAGTCAGACACCCTCTATTCCTAAATTAAAGATGTTATGTTATTCAGAATCAGATGTGGCCGCTATTATAGACAAATTTTTAAAAAATCTAAAGTTAAAGATGTGTATGGTTTGAATATTTATTTTAGAAATGCTCACAAAGATTCTTTGATGTTTCCAATAACACATATGATTAATCTATCACTCAGGTTTCCATGTTGTTCCAACAACATGGAACTCCAATTTACAAACTGGGGAATAAATCAGATCTTAAAAATGACCTATGAGTATATACTAATATCCTGAAAACATGGTTGTTAGTTGGAGGCAGATAGATTGTAAGTATAGTAAATTCATGAAAAGGCAACAACAAAGCATCACTTCCAGCAGTTTGCAACAGGGCACAAGCAGAGAAAAGGGCACAGAGCCTTTGCTCTAGCAGGTGATTTCTCTCTGTGAGAAATGACTTCACATTTCATTTTCTAATCTTAATGAAATTTTAATACAATTGCCGAGATTGTTTTGTAATTCATCACTGAATGAAAAGTGCTCTTTCCTCTGAGACAAATTCGATGACAGGTTGACTTCTGATTGGAAACAATCATGGTGACGTGCCTCCTGAGCCTCCAGAATTCCTCTTTTATCCTCTCCTATATCTGACAATGATAACTTGTAGGAATCAGCTCCTGGGCCAGTAAACAGCTGCTGAGATGAATCACTGTGATGGAAAGTTACTGGCACTAAAAATTTAGCATAGGCTGAAATTGGGAAGTAGTCAGATTTTCCCAGAGAACAGTAAACTATAGCTTGATCTGAATGATCCATACTTAGTTTTAAGTATTATTCTTTTATTGTCAGCCACAAATCTTTTTTTTAAATACTTGTTGTCCTGTATCTTACACTTTTCTCTCTCACTTTCTTAGTGGTATTCCTGGGAAGAAGTGTGGAACCATCATCTTCACCGCTGAGGAGCTGAGTAACTGCAGAGTTAGTATCAGCTTAGATGAACCTTGTGATACAAACAGTAAGAGGAGTTAGAAAGTTAAGCATGGCAGCCCGACCTCATGATGGCCACAGTCTGTGTTTCCATTTGTTAACCAAGTAAATTTAAATTACCTGGATATTGAATGACCATTTAAAGGACTTCAGGATAATTTTGTAATTTGCATCATACTCTCAGTGTGATGAGAAGAGCTGCTCATGAATTATAAATCCTTATTTTACACTTTGTTTTTTATATCCATGTTGAAGAAGATCAGATTACTGTTATGTATATATGTAATCAGGTTTGACCTTCTTTGCTTCACTATCAGACTCGTGGTGGTGGTGACAGCTCAAGAGTCCTTGAGAACTCTGAGAGCCCTGTTGGATTTATTGTTCAAATGTTTGTCTCTGAGCAACAATCTATCTTCTATACATTTCAATTAACGGTCAACCCAGTACTGCAATACCTTTTGCACCAGAACCTCATTCTTTCTTTCTTAAAGAAACAAAACAAATTGGTAGAAATACAGTGGGGCAAAAAAGTATTTAGTCAGCCACCGATTGTGCAAGTTCCCCCACTTAAAATGATGACAGAGGTCAGTAATTTGCACCAGAGGTACACTTCAACTGTGAGAGACAGAATGTGAAAAAAAAAATCCATGAATCCACATGGTAGGATTTGTAAAGAATTTATTGGTAAATCAGGGTGGAAAATAAGTATTTGGTCAATAACAAAAATACAACTCAATACTTTGTAACATAACCTTTGTTGGCAATAACAGAGGTCAAACGTTTACTATAGGTCTTTACCAGGTTTGCACACACAGTAGCTGGTATTTTGGCCCATTCCTCCATGCAGATCTTCTCGAGAGCAGTGATGTTTTGGGGCTGTCGCCGAGGAACACGGACTTTCAACTCCCGCCACAGATTTTCTATGGGGTTGAGGTCTGGAGACTGGCTAGGCCACTCCAGGACTTTCAAATGCTTCTTACGGAGCCACTCCTTTGTTGCCCGGGCGGTGTGTTTTGGATCATTGTCATGTTGGAAGACCCAGCCTCGTTTCATCTTCAACGTTCTCACTGATGGAAGGAGGTTTTGGCTCAAAATCTCACGATACATGGCCCCATTCATTCTGTCCTTAACACGGATCAGTCGTCCTGTCCCCTTGGCAGAAAAACAGCCCCATAGCATGATGTTTCCACCCCCATGCTTCACAGTAGGTATGGTGTTCTTGGGATGCAACTCAGTATTCTTCTTCCTCCAAACACGACGAGTTGAGTTTATACCAAAAAGTTCTACTTTGGTTTCATCTGACCACATGACATTCTCCCAATCCTCTGCTGTATCATCCATGTGCTCTCTGGCAAACTTCAGACGGGCCTGGACATGCACTGGCTTCAGCAGCGGAACACGTCTGGCACTGCGGGATTTGATTCCCTGCCGTTGTAGTGTGTTACTGATGGTGACCTTTGTTACTTTGGTCCCAGCTCTCTGCAGGTCATTCACCAGGTCCCCCCGTGTGGTTCTGGGATCTTTGCTCACCGTTCTCATGATCATTTTGACCCCACGGGATGAGATCTTGCGTGGAGCCCCAGATCGAGGGAGATTATCAGTGGTCTTGTATGTCTTCCATTTTCTGATGATTGCTCCCACAGTTGATTTTTTCACACCAAGCTGCTTGCCTATTGTAGATTCACTCTTCCCAGTCTGGTGCAGGTCTACAATACTTTTCCTGGTGTCCTTCGAAAGCTCTTTGGTCTTGGCCATGGCGGAGTTTGGAGTCTGACTGTTTGAGGCTGTGGACAGGTGTCTTTTATACAGATGATGAGTTCAAACAGGTGCCATTCATACAGGTAACGAGTGGGGGACAGAAAAGCTTCTTACAGGGGACGTTACAGGTCTGTGAGAGCCAGAGATTTTCCTTGTTTGAGGTGACCAAATACTTATTTGCCACCCTAATTTACGAATAAATTCTTTACAAATCCTACCATGTGAATTCATGGAATTTTTTTTCACATTCTCTCTCTCACAGTTGAAGTGTACCTCTGGTGCAAATTACTGACCTCTGTCATCATTTTAAGTGGGGGAACTTGCACAATCGGTGGCTGACTAAATACTTTTTTGCCCCACTGTATTCCAGCCATTCACAGAAGTAGGCCCATGCCCAGAACCCAAGGACCAATGGGATTTTCAATCTCTGGATCATATCTTTGCTGAAGATGAAGCAGAGACACAAAACAGCATATGGATGACCATCTTTCTGAGGATCCCAAAAGGTTGATTCTGTTCCTCTGGACGTAGTGTTTTCAGTGGAAGAAACATTTCGTCACTCATCCAAGTGACTTCTTGAGTCTCAGCTGACTGCAGGTCTCCCCAACCTTATAAACAGTACATTTGCAGAATGACTGAAACCAGCACCACTGAATGAACAATGGGCTGGGAGGTCAGTTCCTTGATCATTAATTCTCATGACGATTGATCAACTACCACTTATCAAAGCCCACTGATCGAAGCTCATTGATCAAAGATCACTGATCAATGGAAAGAAAGCTCCACCCGATCCAGGATTGAAGGACAACTGTTGCCTAAGTGAAAAACCTTATGTGTCAGGACTATTGGAACAGTTGAGAAGCATTTTTTCTAAACATTTCTAAACTATTTGTGTCGGGTGGCTTTTAAACCACCCGACACAAATAGAGTAATATAGTGTACGCTGATGATTTATACACCAGGGAAACCAAACAACCTCTAGCAAAGCTGATGGTACGATGAAGAATTCGTCAGGCGAGGACTCCGCAGTCTATTTACACCTCCAGGCCAGTGGACACTCTTTCAATCATGAGGATGTACACATCGAGCGGGGAGTCAAGGAGGTCATTTACGTGAAAAGGGAAAGACCATCTCTGAATCGAGGAGGGGGCCTAAGGGTATATCTTTCACCATCTTACAATGCTGTGATTGCAGCCATTCCCCAACTCTCTGTCAAGACCATTGGACTGGTCTTCACAGACAAGACTGGTGTGATAGACCCCAGCCTGTATCTTGTGCTCAGAGCTTGTTGATGTGCTGTCTTCAGCACTGACCATGGCTCAGGGGTTTGGGAAGTGCACCTGTAACCGGAAGGTCGCCGGTTTGATCCCCTACCGCCTACCTGTCTTGGCCAGAGGGGCCAATGGTACAATATGGCAGCCTCGCTTCTGTCAGTCTGCCCCAGGGCAGCTGTGGCTACAACTGTAGCTGCCTCCACCAGTGTGTGAATGTGAGAGTGAATGAATAGTGGTATTGTAAAGTGCTTTGAGTGCCTTGAAAAGCGCTATATAAATGCAATCCATTATTATTATTATTAAATGTTAAATGGCTCTGTGTTATATCCTGTTGCCATTAGGTAAAGTTCTTGTTGGGTTTGAGTCATGTGCTCAATAGACTTTTTGTCTACGGATATTACAGTTTGCTAGACAACATCCTCTTTTAAGTACTTATTGTCAAATTATGTTCGAAAATTCACAAGTTCATTCTTAAAAAATAAACTTGAAGATAGACCGGATCCTGAAAGAAACTGTTCTTGTTTTCCTAGGACATAGCCACTATGCAGTTTTGTGCAAACAAGCTGGATAAAAAGGATTTCTTTGGCAAGTCTGATCCTTTCCTTGTCTTCTACCGGAGCAACGAGGATGGCACGTGAGTGTTTTGTTTGGAATGTATGAATTGTTAGAGAAACTGTATATCCTCTGATATGCAGTCAATCTGTTAGCTGTCCATCTAAAGAAAAGCGCTGCTCCTCTGTTCCAGTTCTGGCCTTATTACTGCCGGTGAGTAAAAAAAAAACGCTAACACATTTGTCTTTTGGATCCAGTCCCATGAGGAGAGTGAAAGGTACTAACTCTTCAGAAGGAAGAAGTGGTTATAGATTTTCTCTACACTGAAGTAGAATGTTTTAATTTGTACTTCGTTTAAGTTTTAAGTATTTCAAAAATATAGTTCAGGATGAAAACTTTCTGTTTACTCTGGACTGTTTCTGGTGTCTAATGTTACATTTCATTTAGATGATGAGTAATAATAATAATAATAATAAATTTTATTTATGAGCGCCTTTCAAGTCACCCAAGGACACTTTACAATAGGATAAAACACTTAGTAACACTTAGTAGCATGAAGCCTTACCAAATGTCATTATTTAACCAGGGATATGTGGTATCCAGGGACACATTTTGTTCACTATTTCCTGTCAATCCTAGAGCCCACCAACATGTTGAGATGTCTCCTTTTGTTTGCAGGTTTACGATCTGCCACAAGACTGAGGTGATCAAAAACAACCTAAACCCTGTCTGGCAGTCATTTACTATTCCTGTTCGAGCACTTTGTAATGGAGACTATGACAGGTGAGAGAACAGTGCACTGATTACTTTCTTATTTTAAATCATTATGCTATCGAATATAAAGGTTTATATTGAGCTAACACAGGGTCAGCTACTGCAAAAAAATAAATAAATAAAAAAAATAAAGACAAAAACCCGACAGCTACTACTTCAAATTTAATTTCCTACTAATTTGTAGTCAGACAAAAGAGCTCTCACCTCTTTAATATATGTCTTTACCAGTGTTGGTCAAGTTACTTGAAAATAATAATTAGTTACTAATTACTGATTACTGCTCCAAAAAGTAGTCCCATTACTTTACCGATTACTTATTTTCAAAAGTAATTGGTTACTTTATTACAGTACTTTTTAAAAACATGATGCACAACCTGAATAAGTAATAAAGCAACAGATCTTTCAGCCCAGTTCAATTTTTTCTGCATAATCCATCATATAAAAGTGAAGCAAATGAAAAAGTCTGTTTTGAAAATTTTTTTTATTAGTTTTAATCTTTAGTTTCATGCACATTGCATCAAGCAAAAATTAAATTATATGCAGCAGTCTCTGACTGGAAGAAATGTGTTTAACATTTAAACCTTTTCTGCAGATTCCAGCTTATAAAATTAAAAAAAAAATGTTTTGTGTTTACACTTTTTCAAATAGATGCAAGTAAAACACACCAAAAAATTTATAAAATCAAAGATTGAGCAGCACTAAGTCCTGTCTCTTAAATCTGTTGTCACCTGTTTAGCAGGAGTGGGGCGGGTGGAGGTTTGCCCGGTGCCACAGCGTTCATGTCAGTGGGAGGATCCGGGGGTTTCTCTGTGAATGTCACATTCCCGTGGCAGCGTGCTCGGAGCTCGCTCAGAAGTTTAATTTTTTGCTGTAGAAAGACGTTTTCTTCCCATGCAGAGTGAACAGCAGACGCTAATGTTTTTGTAATTTTTTACGGAATCAAACTCAAAGTAATGTGAGTACTTCCAAGCTTTAAACGCTGCACGGTCGTACTCTCTCCTGCTCTCCATATTATGCATTGTTGATCTGCACATGTCTGTTGCTGTGCAGGCTAATTTGTCACAGACGTTTGCCACCTACACTATGTCTAGGTCACAGTCTGCTAGTCAGAATTTGGTTATATCATGGAAATTTGATGCAGCTACAGAGTGTCAATGCTAGTTTTGCTTTCCTTGTGTCTTTGTCAAGTCTTTCCAGCTGTGTTTCCTGTGTGTTTCCATTCTCCCTAATCACCCTCGTGTGTGTATATATTTTGTCTGTTTTCTCTTTGTCTCTTATCAGGACGTCTGCTTCTCTTGTCCATGTTTCCAGGTTCCATGTCCAAGTTAATTCATCCAGTTTAGTTCTGTTAGTTAAGCCTCAGTTCCTGTTTTGCCTCTTGCTAGTATTTTCATTCAGCTTTTAATAAACGGCTCATGTTTTGTTAAAACCCACTACTGCCTGTACATGTATGCATTTGGGTCCTTATCCTCTTTCCTCACTGTCTGCTGCCATAGTCTCATGACATACTGTGCTTTATTGGACAACCAGCGTCCCTAACCTTAAACCCATAGAGGTATTGTCAGGAGGAAGATAAGAAAAAACCCAACCTAGAAATATAGATGAGCTGAAGGAGGGTGAAGGAGCCCCAACCAAGTTCTCATTACATTTTCGACTGTAGAAGTTCCATGACTTCATCCATGAAAAGCATAGAACATCTGAAGGTTCACTTGTACTCATCAGGACTTCAGACTTATGCAGAAACATCATCTTCTTTCTTAAACTGGGTCTGTCTTCAAATTGAAGATTTGAGGTTTGTCTTTCCATATTCATACTGAATCCTGTATAAAGCTGAACTCTGTGGTGGTCAGAATAATGCCAGCAGTCGGCCGTGAACTCAGTGTCAGGCCAGTGCTGGTGTTATTGAGACTAATGCAGAAGTAATAAGCAGCAAACACACACGCACAGTATGTACATCTAAGCCTAAATCAACCGACAAATAAGGGATTACTAAGGATTTTCCCTTAGACAGTAGTTGTCTTTCTTCGCACCTGAAGTGAATGTCCAGTTGGGATAACCACATTTACTCAGGGCCTTCTTAATAGGATATTCTTCTGCTTCCATGGCTGCTGTATCTGTGGGGATGCCTCTCATCATCCACTGGAGCACAAAGTGTCTGTCATCACCAGACTCTTAATAGAGCAGATTCAGTGCTGTGGTGAGTTTTAAAACAAGATTGGAACACTTCTAGAATTTCATATTCATACAGGAGGGACTTAAATTGAGAGTAGACAAAATTTTAAAGGAGTTTAGGCAACAAAGGTAGCTTGGAGACAGGCTCGACAAAAAAAGGTTAAGAAAAGGGTTGCACAATAGCATCTTTAAAATATTTGGCACCACACTAGAGGTCAGACCACTGTTAATAATGGCTAGGATGAATGTGTGGGGGGTATATGTGTGATGCTAAATTTTGAGTCCTCTATTAGAGGCCTGGAATTTTGAGGGTTCTTCGCAGTATCTTAGGTGTACCTAGGACTGTGTTCTTCTGCACAGAGACCTCTTATACACTCGGATTCTGCTGGAGCTGCTCTTCCAGTATCAGGGTTACAACTCCTTATGTTCCTGTTACCACCAGGACTGCTTTGGACTTTACTTTCCACATCTGCTCCAGTTGTTCCTTCTCTATTTTCTTGTCCTCCTTCCTGATGTTGCTGTCTGTTGGGTTTGCCATATCTATCACAATTTTTTGTCTTCTGCTCCTTGTCACCCACTGCTACAGGGGTGTCAAACTCCAGGCCTCAAGGGCCGGTGTCCTGCAGGTTTTAGATGTGTCCTTGATCCAGCACAGCTTATTTAAATGGCTAAATTACCTCCTCAACATGCCTTGAGGTTCTCCAGAGGCCTGGTAAGGAACTAATCATGTGATTCAGGTGTGTTGACCCAGGGTGAGATCTAAAGACTGCAGGACACCGGCCCTAGAGGCGTGGAGTTCGACACCCCTGCACTACTGTCTGGTTAGTTTGCCAGCAGCTGCTTGTCTGTCTGGAACTTTTGGTGCCATAGGACCTTGTTGTTCTCCACCTCCTTTGGTGGTGTCTTGTATTGGGTATTTGGGACTTCTAGTCCATATATACTATCTCAGCCACTTGGTTAAGCCTCTCAGTGTATACTGTTCTTTACATCTTATGTTCTGCTACTATATGGTGGATAGTCTCTAGGGCACCTTTGGACGGACTTGTTGGCTTTGGTATATTCCTGCCTCTATGGCTGGTGCTTAGGGCCTGTTATTGGGCTGCCATGATCAGACATAATACATTTTTAAATGGACTAACAATGAGGGGGAGTTGTTGCTACGAGTAACACAAAAGTACAAAGCTGCAAAAGCGAGTGAGAATTAAAGAATTTAAAGAAAAGCTATCTGGAGCGCGTACAAACTGATATTCATCTTTTTTAGGGCAGTCAAAACAACCGCTGTATAATGTACTCTGCTATCTTTGTTTATTTGGTCACATGACTGCGTCACATGACTAAAATACGTCATCGTTTTAGAAAGTCTACGTTTTCGTGTGTCCACACTGCAACGGAACAGCTGCGTTTTGAAATGTATGCGTTTTCGAGAGCGTTTTCAAAACGCTGCCTTTTTCCTTGAGGAAAGCGCCGTCTCAGTGTGGACGGGAGGTCAAAACGGAGAGAAAACGACGCGTTTTCAAACAACAATGCATTAGTGTGAACGTAGCCTAAATAAACTCCTATCAGCAAGGATATCATCTGATTGTTGGGGCTTTGTCTCAAATCTTGTAGGGTCTTTACTGTACAAACTAAAGCAGGTTGAGCGGACTATTGTTGAGATTGGGTGCTGTTTGTTTAGACACTAAAGCTGGTGGGCCTAAACCTCACATCAGGAGGTTCTTTAAATACGAGGAGTATGTGTATCAGAAAACCAGGGCACAGAGACTGAGTAGGTCTAATCAAAGAAAGTTTATTCCCTGAGGAAGAAAGCATGCATAAATACTTTTTACACTAAAAATCCCACAATAAAATTGTCCAAAAAACGCAATACAAATATCAAAGTAAAATCATGCAAATAAAATCCAAACTACACTCAAGAATAAACACTAAAATAACAATAAATCCGACTATAAAACAAATACAAGTTTCTGCTGTGTAACATATAAATTTATTGAATTTAATTACATTTAATTACTTCTTACACAGTAGCTGTTTAAGTCACAGAAAACTGGACCTGCATCTCACACAGGCAATCAACCTGTACAGGAAAAGAACAAGAAGTAACAAGAGTCACTCCACCTCATACTCTAAAGCACAGCGCACGGTCACATGGATGATCGCACGACTGAAAGAATCTGAGTCATAGCACCGACTTTAAGGAAGAAGGCCTACAATATTTTTTAAAGTTGTCTTATTTCAAATATATAATTCATTATACGTATTATTTTTTCCATTATTTTCATTATTGAATGAATTTTTATATATTATATAATTATATAATTTTTGACATTGGTAAGCTGTATAACTTTAGGGTCACCATTATTTTAATTGATTTCATAATGTGAAACATCCTTTGAAGAAAAGTTAACTTACTCAACTTTCTGATGGTCTCTCCCTATTGGCTTCCTGCCATTTCACTTTCTCACACTCCCTCTTATCTTCTGTAAATCTCACCTATGTCTATCTCACCTTGGCTTCCTTGTCTCACCTCCCTCCAGGACAGTCAAGGTGGACGTTTACGACTGGGACAGGGATGGGAGGTAAGCGCTCTCACTCTGTGTGACTCTCCTTTTCCTTGCTTTAATTTTCAGCTCCACACGGAGTCTCTGAAATGTCACACATTATTCTTTCTGACCCAAGGCATTTTATTAGAACAAGTGAAGAGCTCCACCTGCTTGGCACACACTGGGCAATGAATGAAATCTTGTGAGTGAAAGGTTGCAGCTAAGTGGTTAGGAGGTCAGGTTATACATGGCTTCTACGTCTCATCACAGATGCTGGCTACTGTAGGAGCCCTCATACATGTGGGGCTTAATTTGCAGATATCTTGTGGGGGTTTTCAGGCTGTCTGACCTCATGTTGCTGTTCCACAAATTTTACTCTGAAAATAAATTTTCAGTCTTTTCTCTATGTTCTATCTTCTGTCTCTCTTTTCACTTTTTGTGAGAGAAAAGGAAACCTGAAGGAAATGTTTGTCTTGCAGAATTCATCAGGCTGTAATTCTGATGCATTTTTACTCAGTTTCCCTTTTAGGCTTTGACACAGTATTCTGTTTTGTCAAAATAGAAACATAACAATGACAAATGTATACGCATAATACATTTTTGGATAAAATATCTCTATCGACCAATGACGTGTCATTGTGACAGGGACAAAGAAAGGGAATCCTTTGAGGCTAGACACTTTTTCAAAATTAAAACAGACACTGACTAACGAGCTACACATCACAAAAGTTAGAGCCATTAGAGGATCTGAGTGCTCTGTTGGGGCTATACACGTCGAGAAAGTCTGTTAGGTAACTGGGCGCCATTTTTAAAAGTATACAAAAGGATTTTAAATACGATACGGTATTTAACAGGGAGCCAGTGTAGATTGGCTAGAACAGGGGTGATGTGATCATGCCTTCTGGTGCCAGTTAAGAGGCGTGTTGTGGCATTTTGAACTAATTGCAAACGCTGGAGGAGAGAGAATTGGAGGCCCATGCACAGAGAATTGCAACAGTCTAGTCTCGAAGTAATAAAGGCATGGATAAGCTGTCCAAGGTCTTTATGTGGAATATAGGGCCTTGCCTTGGAGATTTAGCGTAGCTGGTAAAAACTCGTTTTCACAACTGAGGACACTTGTTTGTCTAATTTGAATCTTTGTGATCTAAAGCATAGGACAGCAAGGTTTAAAAGGCAAATATAGCCTAGTTAAATTAAATATCTACAGTTAATTTAATTCAGAGCAGCACAGTGGTGCGGTAGTTAGGGCTGTTGCCTCACAGCAAGAAGGTCCTGAGTTTGACTCATCTGGCCAGGTCTTTCTGTGTGGAATTTGCATGTTCTGCCTGTGTTTGTGGGAGTTCTCTCCACTTCCTCCCACAGTCCAAAGACATGCAGTTAGTGGGATTAGATTGACTGGTGATTCTAAATTGCCCATAGGTATGAATGGCTGTCTTTCTCAATGTGTTAGCCCTGTGTCAGATTAGTGACCTGTCCAGGGTGTACCCCGCCTCTCGCCTTTTGGTATCTGGGATAGTTTAATGTGTGAGAAATACCACATCATAGAAGCTGAAAAGGATACACTTCTCCTTAAATTAGTGCAACTTAATTGCAACTATTTTGTATAAGTTTGTAATACAAGACAACAAAAGGAAGATCCATGCAATCCTTCACATTGGTTAAAGGGAACCCCGGCTATTAAGACATGTTTGCGCTAAAATATGTACTGTGCTTTCAATAACACATATGTGGTACTAAAATACGCCAAATGTTTTCCTTAAGCACCATCCATCCATCCATTCGCTTCCGCTTGTCCTTTTTCAGGGTTGCGGGGGGCGCTGGAGCCTATCCCAGCTGTCATGGGGCGAGAGGCAAGGTACACCCTGGACAGGTTGCCAGTCTGTCGCAGGGCCAACACACAGAGACAGACAACCGTTCGTGTTCACATTCACTCCCGCTTTCACGCCTATAGGAAATTTGGATTAATCAATTAACCTATCCCCACAAACTGCATGTCTTTGTACGGTGGGAGGAAGCTGGAGTACCCGGAGGGAACCCACGCAAACACGGGGAGAACATGCAAACTCCACACAGAAACACTCTGGCCTGATGGTGGAATTGAACTCAGGACCTTCTTACTGTGCGGCAACAGTGCTAACCACCGTGCCACCGTGCTGCCCCCTTTTAAGCACATTTTATATAAAACCGATTTACCAGTAGGCTGCCATTGTTATTTAGTTCTCAATGCACTCTGGGTAGTGACGTCATACGGTTGCACCGCATCCAGTTCACAGTTAGCAGTGCACTGGAAATGGCTTCTGTTCAGCCTTTCCAGTTTGAACCAGAGCAAACCGAGAGAGAGAATGAAAATAGTCAACCAGCACTTAGTTTAGATGAAGATGAAAACAATCCGTCACATGAGGACGAGAGAGTCAGGTAAAACTACTGGTGTCTATGCGGCTACTGTAAAGCACCAAAACTTTTTGAAGCCGTATGTCTTAATCCAGATGTTCTTTGGGCAGCCCTTGTTAGCCTCCATGACCGGTATCCGGTCTTTAAGTGATAACGTGATGAATCCTGCGTCTGGGTCCAAAGTATTCTGCACTTAATAAGACTGATGTGTTTTAACATGTTTTGCTTTTGTATCTTGTTATTTAATATCAACAAGCCCCTAAAAACAGTCAGTGATCACTATCGGCTTCTCATGGTTTTTATTACCGCTAATTATTTTAAAACACAGTTTTTAAACCATTAAAATGTAACTACAGCCCAGCCCATGCAGCAGCAGTATATTAATGACTAACTAATCTCGGTGGTTCTCCTGACTGACGTTTGGTCAGTTTACAGAATCCTGCCATGCGATTGCATTTGCCCCTAACCATCGGGAGCCCTCACATTAACTTTTATCGAGTGGAAAAAAAGTCCTCCATTCATTAGTGGACCTTTGTTGTTGCCACTAGCTCTGTGCCAATTTTGGGCGCCGATTTTCTTTGTGCCCACGGACTGGTGGTCGATGTCGCTAACAGACGCTTATTCGATGCTCTGTCCTTTTCTTTAATACACTGTTTCACTCGGGCCATCGAGCCCCTGAATTGAGCTAATTTTGTGACTTCAGGGAATGTTTTTCAGTGTTTGCTCTTGGAGTTCCCTTCACTGACTGTTCCTAATTTCATGAACATGGCTACGAAGCACGGGGTTGAACATTATACCCCAACGGTCGGTCCCCCGGTGTTCGCACGCGTGCGCCTCCTCAACCCCGCAAAACCCTCCGTCGTTCGGGAAGAGTTTGCCGCTATGGAGCATCTCGAGCCTGTAAGGGCTGGCTAAGTGACGCTCATGTCAGGAGGGGCTAGTGCCTCCCTATATATTAGGCTGACATAGCGTCAGATGTCATTCAAAAACCTCTTCTCACTTCTCAACTGTAAGACAACTGTGCTATTGGGTGGTAAAGCTAAACTGTCCACAGATTCGAGTGAACAACTCGGTCACCGGGCACTTTGTTCCCAGCATTTTAGTTGTCCACTAGCATACAAGCAGTAGCAATACTGTTCTGTAGTTTTTCCCAAAGCGATGTAGCAACACTTTGCTAATAAAGGTACCACTAGCTTCACCATGAGGTAGCAATACCCTTCGGCACTAGCGGTTTTACACATTAGGTAGCAATACCTGCAGAAAAGTAGCACTACTTTTCACCCCATGCTAGCTGAGAAATAGCAATATTCTCCACACTCAGTGTTGGTCTCGCTAATGTGCACAACCCTCTAGCTAACCATGGCTACGACTGACAACGAAGTTGCGAAACTTTGTCCTTGCGGCAAGAGGATTTCTGCCTGGGATACACACCCGTGTGTGCAGCATGCCTAGGCTTATCTCAGGCTCAGGCTGCCTTGACACCTGCACACGACTGTATCCACTGCGCGGCTTTCCCACGCAAACTCCGCACAGGCTAGCTCGCCAGGCTAACCTGTCGGGTGGCGACTCTTTGCTGTGTGAGGCTGCTGCAGCGCACGGAGAAATTGAGATGCCTGATGATTTGGCAACAACGCCAGGCCGAGCTGGGCAGAGGCAGACCCTCAGCCCATCGCGGCCGCTCTCCCGTCGCTGGAGGCACATGGAGAATGTGAGGTTTTTTCCCCCATGTTGGAGTCGCCCGGGGAGGAGATGCTAATGATGACGGAGATGAGTCGGCTGACTCAGAACTCCTCCTGTCTGACGAGGAGGAGGAGGGTTCCACCTAGAATCAGCTGGGCTGCAAAGCCCTCGGCTACCGGCGAGGTTGAAAAACCGACACCGGATCTCCTGGATCTCGACATGCAGGACATGCGCAGCTGCTAGGCTCAACATCCCATGGCCCGCCATACAAACAGAGGTTGTAAAATCTCGTTTTGATGGTAAGAAATTGCCAAAGGCGAAAAAGATGGGGAAGCATGTGTTGGCTTACCAACCTGATGACTAAGGAAAAAGTGTTTTACTCGCTGCACGATCAGAAAGCGCCGCTCGGGGTGGATGCTCTGGCTCACGAGTGGCCAAGAACCCTCCTCTATGCTTTTCCCCCAGTGGCCCTCATTTCTCCAACTCTGGCCAAATTGAGAGAGAGAGGTCACTATATGATCCTGATAGCCCCGCACTGGCCAGGGAAGCAGTGGCTGGCAGAGATTTTTCAGCTGCTGTGCGGCCCACCTTGGCTGTTATCACTACGCAGAGACCTCCTGTCTCAGGCACGGGTAGAAATATTCCACCCCCACCTGGAGATGCTAGCTCTAAGGGCTTGGCCTGTGAGGGACTTAACCTGAACACAGTGGGGCTCCCTCATAGTTTTATCGACACTATTCAGTGTTCTAGAGCATAGCAAAGCCATACCAAATTACTATTAGAGCTGGCCTACTGGTATTATACAGCTAATATATATATTGTTTAGTATTAAGCTTTGCTTGTTCCATATTCAGTTTTTCAGCAAAACGTGTTTGAGTCCATAAGAAAAGATTCATTCTTGTATCTGGGGAAGATTTTTTTTTTTCAATAAATATTAATGTTAGCCCGCGACTTTGTTCCAGTTTAGAATTTTGGCCCACTGTGTATTTGAGTTTGACACCCCTGCTCTAGAGCATCGTCTACTAGGACACTATATGAGCACAAGTGGCGTGTGTTTGAAAGCTGGTGCTTAGAATCACAGGCCATCCCTTTTCAATGCTCTGTGGCTGTGATTCTGTCATTTCTTCAGGCCCTGATTGATAAGGGTAAAGCCTTCTCCACCATCAAGGTGTATTTGGCAGCAATTTCAGCCTGCCATATTGGTTTTGAGGGGAAGACTGTTGGCCAGCATCCCTTAATATGCCGTTTCATGAAGGGTGCACGGCGTAAATTGCCTACATCTAGGCCACTGGCTCCATCGTGGGACCTTCCCACAGTATTGGCTGCGCTCTCCTGTTGCCCATTTGAACCCCTGGAACAGGTTGAGTTAAAATTTCTGTCCTTGATGACAGCTCTATTAATTGCTTTAGCTTCAGCTAAGCATGTAGGAGAGATCCACGCTCTCTCAGTGCATCAGTCATGCATTCAGTTGTCCTCGGATAATACGAGGGTCAGTATGCGGCTAAACCTCGCCTTTATCCCAAAGGTTGTCGGCACATGTTCCCCTACAGATGTTCTGGCCTTTCACCCACCGCCTTTCTCCTCAGAGGAGCAACAGCGGCTGCATACCTTGTGTCCAGTCCGTGCACTGCGCATTTATATCGACAGAACCCAGAGTGTCGGACAAAGTGAAAAGCTATTCGTGTCCTGGGCTAATCCACATAAGGGAAAGCCTGTGTCTAAACAGCGCCTCTTCCATTGGATAGTAGGAGCAATTGCCCAGGTCTATACTAGCAGGGGTCTTCAGCCTCCTCACACATTTGCTAGGTTTTACAGGTTAGATGTAACAGCACCTAACCTAGCGCATTCAGTCCTCAGTGCAGGTTCTTCCCAGGTGGGAGCTTCTCCCCTGTGAAGTGCTGTTGGGAACAGTTGTCTTCTTAACAGGCATGTCTGGCAATCCAGCAGTCAGTATTCCTCCCATAGTGAGACACGAAACGAATGCTATGAAAGAGAACTTAAGGTTATGTATATAACCCCAGTTCTCTGAGTAGCATGAGTGAGTGTCTCACCAGACCGCTCTCCTTGCTATGGAAGCGAGGAAGAGGAAGAGGTGGGCTTGTTTTGAATGACATCTGACGCTATGTCAGCCTATTATATAGGGAGGCACTAGCCCCTCCTGATATGGGTGTCACTTAGCCAGCTTGTAAGGGCTGGCGTAATGGTATCTGAGCTTCTGATGAGGTCACGCAGGAGGCCTTCCCATAGTGAGACACTCACTCAGGCATGTTTCGGCTTTTCCACGTCCCACGTCGGTTAAAGCGCTGCAGGAGTTCTTGGGGGGTCTACAACCGCTTTCTCCCCAGAGCTGCGCACCTGCTGTGTTAATCAAGAGCTCTCATGTCGTCTGTGTTTACCTCTACAATATTATATTTAGATGTATTTAGATGGAAGCTAGCGAGCTAACTCCCTGCTAACTTCTAACTCAGTTAAATGTCATAAATTCTGTTTTCATGGATGCCTGGATGTTAAACTTAATTGATACACCTGGCAGAGCTGCCACACTGATCATTTTATTACAGATGAACAAATTTAGACAGTTTTTCAATTCTCAATAATGCTGCAGTGATCATTTGACTTTTGCAGCGGAGTTTGCTAGGAATGCTAATAACATCAGACTCAAAGACCGGATAGTGCTGGTCTACCAAGTCGTAACCAGGTCACTAATAGACAACTTAATTGACACCATTGCTACACTATGAAAAACAAAACAGGTTAGCTGAACGAAAGCACTTATACTGCTAACAACCAATACACGTCATTGTCCCAGAATGCATTGCGTGCGAAAAAACATGGCCGCTCCCACGGCTCCAAAATAATTTTAAACAACAAAGATTTAATGAATAACAACAAAAAAATTGTAGTTATTCTTAAGTATGTTTTTATGTGGTGGAGATAATTTGTAACATATTTAGAGTAACTTGTCATAATAGTCGGGGTTCCCTTTAAGTGGACTCTTTCTATTTATATTTGTATTTCATAGCTTAAAAAGAGAGAAAATCATTCGGACACCATGTTGTTGAACAAAAGGACTATAATTTTTTGTCAAAAAGAATAGAAAGTCATGTTACAGATACAACAATAACTGTTTTCTTTTTATTCGTTATCTTTATCTCATTCTCCCTTCCAGTCATGACTTTATTGGAGAATTCACCACAAGCTACAGAGAACTATCCCGAGGCCAAAGCCAGTTCAATGTCTATGAGGTAAAAAAAAATGAAAAGAAAAAAAAAGACAGAGTGCAACAAGAAGTACATTTCACTTCTCCAAAGCTCCAGAAGTTCATTTTCTCCAAAAACTATTTTTTGTTGATTGTGTCAATGGTATTAACAACACAGCTAGTTCCTTCAGTGTTATATATTATTCATGAAGTAATATTCCTTGTGTTATGAATTCCAGCCTTTATTTGAGGACAGTATTAAATCGCCACCTGTTCATATTAGCTTAGAAATATGAGGAAAGACTATATAATGTGTTCTGACTTGTTTGTTGAAAAGCTTGTTTCATGTTTCCTCTCTTATGGTCAAGGTGTTGAATCCTAAAAAGAAAGGCAAAAAGAAGAAATACATCAACTCAGGGACGGTAAGACTCGTCAGTGTGTCATGTCAACAGCTGTCACGTTTCATGGGGATGACTCATAGCAGGAGTGATTTATCAGTCCAGTAAATGTATAATGTTTGCTGTTAGCCTGTCTGTAACCTCCCTTGGTTCTCTTGATATTTTTTCTCATTTCCCTTTCACTTTCTCCCAATCTTCAAGGTGACCCTGCTGTCTTTCAAAGTGGAGTCAGAGTATACATTTGTCGACTTCATCAGAGGAGGGTAAGAACTCAGTCAGTCATGTTTCATTAGGGTAGAGTCGAACATACACAAATGATATTACTGGAAGGTAGTACAAAGGGTGCAATGTGTTATAAACTTTGACTAAAATGTTTACAGTTTTCTTACATTCTGGTTTTCCAGTGAAAAAAATCAGCCCTCATTTGATTCTTGAGTCACAGTTTAGTGACTCTTCACAGCTTCTGTCTTTTATCCCCACTGCTCTATTTGTCGAACCTGACATTTAGTTTGCCACTGCACACAATGTTGTTCAGATAAATGATAACCAAGATAGCAGATTTCACTAGGAAATGTCTGCTTCTGATTGATGAGAACTTGAGTTGTCACTGAAGATGGCCTTGACTGATGTTATACTTTTTACTTACATCAATTATTCTAAACAAAAAAGACACATTGAGTATCACGACAAGCTGGGCAGTCATGGCGTAATATGAACATTCGTCTTGTTCCAACATGACTGTATACAAAGCAAGATCCATAAAGACATGGATGAAGAACTGGGCCTGGAAGAGCTCTGCGCCTTTGGGATGAATCAGAGCAAAGTGGATTCAGGCCGTCTTATCTGACCTCACAAATATGCTTCTGGAGAAATGGCCAAAAATTCCCATAAACCTCATGGAAAGCCTTCCCAGGAGACTTTTACTCAAGTTATACTCATATGTGTGTGAAGCCAGATGAGTGAATACTTTCAGCAATGTAGTGTATTTCTCATACTTTTACTTTATAAAACTAGGGGTAGAAAATGTTTTGGAACAAAAGAACATCAGTAATAATGCTGTGGTTATAAAACCATAACATGTAAATAACTAACCCCCAACATGCCAGAAAAATCCAATATAACTCATTAAACTGAAATGGCAATAAAGCAGAGGGCATGACACAAGAAAGTCAGCTATGCTATGCTCTCAGCACAACTTAAACACAGCAGTCGTAACTAAATCTAAAGCAAAAGCTTAAGAAAATACACAGTAATTTAAAGAAAGTGCTTCACCCCTGTACTTCTAGTTGGTTTACTGACAACCACAGATTGCATCAGGCAGATCAGACAAGTGTAGCGGATGATGTCATATTGCATCAGCTCTAACTTTGACCAATATGAGCATGCTTTGAGTTGCATCAGCTGCATCAGGGTCACACTCTGGACGTTTGATTTGTTAACTACGTAACCTAATTAGCTGAAGTAACTAGCGTTTCACTCATAAATACTGTGTGATATTAATACAATAAATGTGTTACAGCAGTCAAGCAAATAGGCTGGAAGAAAAAACATTCCAAGGTAGTGCACTTTATTTGAACACTGATGTTTCTTAAACCATCAGTGAGGCATTTGCTGCTGCCTCACTGCTTTTGTTTTAGAGTTTTATATTGCTGAATTTGTTTTCTCATCATTCTGGACAGCTCATTTTTTTTAAATTGTTTTTGTTGTGAAATGTAAGCTACAGAAAGCTGAAGAATTCACTGGGCAAAAACAATACTACATACGTTAATAATTTGTAGATTTCAAATACTTTAGATGTGTTACAATTTCTAACCGGTGACCAGTACGTTTCTCGATCTGGCATGAAGAGCTGTAGATGTTCTTCCAATCTCAAAACGAAGTCCTGACCACTGTGACTGATATCAATGTGCTCAATCTCCCACCAGGACACAACTCAACTTCACTGTAGCCATAGACTTCACAGCATCCAATGGTAAGACAGTGTTTCATCTTAATGCATGCAGGAAATGTCCACACATCTGTTCAGTGAGATTTTTTTGCCCACAAAATAATTTGTTGTCGCTTTTTTACTTTAGTTAGACTCTTTTTGCCTTCTTTTGAAAAAATCAATTTCAGTGGCATTGACAAATAACTGCCACACAATTATTTGTCTGTCTTGGTGGTGGTCTATATGGAGACACTATTCGTACTATTATGTTCCCAAATGTCTATCATGCTATCATCAACCATCACACATATGCACAATATGTACTTCTGTGTAAAGTATGGAAACTGGAATATGTCCTAAAAATATCACAATGGACCAGCTGAAGAATATAGTGCACAAGCTGATTGTCCATTAAAAATGACCTTCACATTGAGAGTTGCTTTTTGATTAGCCACTTAAGAGCATTTTTAAAAAGCCTGAACACCAAGTCCCTGTTATTCTACAGAGGTGCCTGCAAAGAAACACAATGACAGTCACCTATCAGCCAGACAGGAAAAAACAAACTCCTAATTGCAAAGTCTTTAAGTTGAAAAATTCTCAAAGAAAGAAGCTCTGTTAACGAAATAATGAGAGATTAGCAATATTACACCTAATCTGGTTGTTCAAATACTTCATCAGTCCATCAGGCTAATGGGACTTACTAAACTGAGGCAGCCAGATTATTGTTGTATTGTAATTAGTGTTTACAAGACATGATTGATAGTGCTGATTGACAGCACAATTTGTCAGTTTTGGGCCAGGAGTTACCTCTGTGTTTGTAGGAATTTTATTTTTTTGCCCATGGCAGCGTGCTCGGTGCTCGCTCAGATTTCAAGTTTAATTTTCTGCTGTAGAAAGAAGTTTTCTTCCCACGCAGAGTGAACAGCAGACGCTGATGTTTTTGTCACTTATTACAGAATCAAACTCAAAGTAATGTCAGTATTTCCAAGCTTTAAACGCTGCACGTTCGTACTCTCTCCCGCTCTCCATAACATCCATCGTTGATCTACACACGTCTGTTGCTGCCACGGACGTCGCGCGCTCGTACGTCATTGTCATGAGACACTCTCACCAACAAAATCATGGTTTAGTAACGCAGTAAGGCAGCGTGCTTATGGGAAAGTAACAGTAATCTAATTACTTTTTTGCAATAGTAATACTTGTTCTCGTTACTTGTAATCAAGTAATCAGATTACAGTAACGCGTTAACACATTACTGCCTATCTCTGCTCAGCACATTGCAAAGCATGGAGTAAAGGATGCTGCCACAGCATATGTTTCCTGCAGTTACAGATCACTGGCAGTATCTGGCAGTCTGATGCACTTGGCTGGGTTTGACAGGTGCCTGGAGAACGATACTTGCTCTTGCTCTGCATTGTACCAAGTGTAATCAATAATTACATATTCCCCTTTACATAATTCTATTATATAATCACCCCACATAATTATGGTGTGGGGTTGTTTTTCAGGAATAGATCTCACAGGCTTAGACAGAAGCTTAATGCTTCAGGGGATGGCCCCTTCCTCTTCCAACGTGGCTGTGCATCAGTGCACAAAGCAAGGTCCATAAAGTCATTAATGAGCAGGGTTGGTGCGGAAGAAAAACGTTGTTAACAAAAAGTTGTTATAGCTGCAAAAGGTGGGGTATTTTATAACGTTGTGACTACTGACAGGTAAGGTGAATAATACCGATTATCTTTTAGTCATGGCACCTGTTAGTGATTGGGATATATTAGGGAGCAAGTAAACATTTTGCTCTTAAATGTAGATGTGTTTATCAAAGAGGGTTTAGCGGCTAAAACAGGACAACACTGCTTAAAACCTTTCATGCTAGGTTGTGAGCCCACAAATTGAAAAGACCGCATTCAGACTTAAAGAACTGACAACATGTCAGACAGCAAAGAAACTACACAGATACGAATAAGGATGCTCTTTGAAATGTATTTTCTTTCCACGGCTCCATAATATCAATTCTACAAAACCACGTTTCTCAAAATTTAGTTGGTCTTTTTTTTGGAAAGCAAAAAACAAAAACCAACTAATTCCAGTAGTTACACAACATAGTGGTTTCCTTCATCATGTCTGCATGTGTGTTTTTTGCAAGTCTAATAAATGTGTAATTGCTTTTCTTCATTCTCTGATAAGAACATTCTCACGCTAATTTTGCTGCATGCTGGTGGGGATTTCTCTCTTTCTAGGTAACCCGTCCCAGCCGACATCGTTGCACTATATGAGTCCATACCAAATGAATGCATATGCCATGGCCCTGAAGGCTGTGGGAGAAATTATCCAGGACTATGACAGTGACAAACTCTTCCCTGCGTATGGCTTTGGAGCTAAACTTCCCCCAGACGGCAAGATCTCCCACGCCTTTCCACTGGTGAGAGTCATGATTGAAACTGAGGGAGAGACTTTTTTAACTGTTCGTACTTGAAAATATTGACTTCATGGGCTATTTTTGTTAATGGTGGTGCAATTGTGAAAAGCGACCGCCTCTGTGCAGTAGTTAATCAGTTTACTCTTGGTCAGTCAAATGAATGGTGTCATTAATGGTGAGCTGATGTAGCAGAAATCACAGTTAGGTCCATACATTTTTGGATTATTTGTACTTTTTTTTCTCAATTTTTTAACATTTCTTTTAGTCCTGCCACTGTACCCCACCACAGACAATAATAAAAATAAATCCAACAATCAAGATGTGATTGAAGTCCAAACTTTCAGATTAGGCATTCATTTAGGAATCACAGCTATTCCATCTGGTTCAGATTCACTGCCCATTTTCAAATACTCAAACATAACTGAGCAACTCATAAATAGCTTTAAAAAAGCCTGTTCTCTCTTTATTCCACAAAAAATTTAGTAGATAAAAGATCTGGTTCCAAGTGCTGGACTTGGATTTAGTAGCTTTTCAATCAACCTCTCAATATGAGGTCCAAAGTTTTCTATTAGTCTGAAAAAGTCAACAATCTGGTACATTCTTAAAAAGAAGGAATGGAGGAAGGGCGCACTAGTGACTGCAGTTTGAGTTGCAAAGAAGACTATTACAGAAGAAGCATTTAGTTTGCCTCGAGGAAACCATGTATATAACAACATAATGCACGAGTACATCCTTGTGAATGTACAGGCATGCACTTTGTACATACACTTGCACATGTCTGTAAACCACCCAATCAAATTGACTGCTTGTAAATCTAAGGTGGATATATAAGTTTTAACTCGTCTTGTTCACTATAGTTACTGTGAAACTCCAGTGTATGGATGCGTATATACTCTAGCTTTGAAAAACAAATGGGCATCACTTGATTAATGAAAATGTTTTCACTCAGCATTCCTTAAATAAACATATAGCAACACGATTAACGCTGACTTCTCTAGTCAAAGTGATGAGTGCTTTCATAATGTAATGGTTTATTCACTTGTCTCCCTGTGAAAGGACTCTAAAGCCAGGATGGTGCAGTCTGTGTTTTATCAAGATCGAAATGCATTGGAGCTATTTTTTATTGTCAACCTCGCAGGGATATTGTAATTAGACAAACAAGAAAATTCAAGTTACCAAAACGCTTGTCTAAATGAGTAAATCTGAGTAAAGCGAGTACCAACAGTTGAAAGCTGGGGAAAAACACAAATGTATCAAATCAAGTTCACTAAATGTTTTGTGTTTTCTGGGCATCTTCTTTTTTACATTGTGATGCACAAAAATGATAAAACAAACAACATGGACCATGCTCCAATAACCTGTGGAAATAATTGTACATTGCTGACTGGATGATGCAAATAACACAACTGTGAAACCTCTGAAAGCAGCAGGCTGACAGTGTTTATATAGCCACATTACTTATCTCAGATTTCAAACTTTGTTTACATCTTGATGGTCATATTTTACTACAAAATCATTTCATTAAAGAAGTGTGGGCACCTTAATGCATTTCATGAATGAAAAACAAAAGCCTGTTTTTCCTTCAAACATTCACATATCCTGTGGCACCAACAGACCTGCAGTGGAATGGTGAGACTTTAGTCAGTTTGTAATCTGATATTTCTAGTGATGTCAATGACAACAATATAATTTTTGGATCAGAAAATGGATATTTATTAACATATACTATATTTTACGCAGCTTATGAGTGGATCCAGAGGTTGCATGACATAAAGGAAAGGCTTTTTTTATACAGCAACTAAATAATAAATTAAGGTCTGTTGGCCTTTCTAACTTGGACACATGAAATATTGATATGTTATGTTAACCCATCTGCTGGTTAGACCACATAAACTCCAAGTATTTAGTTTGGTCTAAATGTTAAAACAGTTTACTCAGTCTGACACGTCTGTTCTCATTTTGCAGCGCTCTGCACTCTAAACTGTTGGAACACAAAGTAATCCCTTAGACTGCTTCACTACAGTTAGATGTCGACTTGCAATATTATGTGAATAGTTTTTTCTGTTTTCATGGAACAACAGAAACTTCAGTTAAACATCTGCTTTTTCCAAGTTCACCATATTCATAAAGCTTAAAAACAGGTGTGAAGTCAGATTAACTTTTTTATTTTTGGTTGACATGTGTCAGCTCTGACTCACACATTCAGCATTGTAGTCTTGCTTCCATTTCTACTTGTGCATTGCTGTACAGTAGAATCACTGTGGAGATTGCTTGGGATGATGTAAACTGGCTGTTTTGATGCATTAGAGTACCAGCTCTAGTCTGAGCCCTTCCCAAATGACTGAGTTACTCCTTCTATTACTAACTGTGAGCCCAGACCTTATGGTCACCCATTGTAGGAGAAATTAAGATACGCCAGTATGGGAGAAATCTGTTCTCTCTTTCTAGTCCCTGTCAGGACTCTTGCTGCAGCATTTTGGATTAACTGAAGGCTTTTCGGGGAGTTTTTAGGACATCCTGATAATAACAAATTACACTGGTCCAGCCTTGAAGTAATAAATGTATGAACTAGTTTTTCAGCATCACTCTGAGAAAGGATATTTCTCATTTTAGAGATATTGCGCAAATGTAAACAGAATTGGTCCTAGCACTGAACCCTGTGGAACTCCATAATTAACCTTAATGTATGAAGAAGACTCCATTACATGAACAAATTGGAGTCTGTTAGACAGATAAGATACAAACCACTGCAGCGCAGTACCTGTAATACCTGCAGCATGTTCATCTAAAATTTCCTCAGAAGTCAGTGTGCCATATGATTGCATTAGCAATAAATTTAATAACGCTCTATATTAACAGTTACACACTATATAGAACAACTTTATAGAATTATATTTATTCCCAGATGTTGGCAGCTATCAGTGAATAGTTTTCAGCTATTTTGAAACAAAAAAAAAGACACTTTTTATCAATAACAGCAAATGAACTGTACAACAGAAAATACAAATGCCATTTATGGTCTCCTCACAACAATGATAAGAAAAATAAACTGGGCCAATATGGCATGTTTGTTAATACAGAGATACACATGTTAATGTGATCTCTGGTCTCCCACTCAGAGACTCAGGTCTTCGAGTGTCCAGCATTCAGAGGCTACCTGAGGACTCGTGAGAGAAAATCTGCTCACACAGATATTCGAGCCAAACACTGTCAATAAGGCCTCTGCAATGTTCTGAAGACAGTTAAACTTGTCAGGTAGTGATGTCCAGCAGGTGAACATGCAGCTCCATGAACACGCACAGCTGTGGATTCCAGCTGTGTTCGTAGTTCTGCAAACTTTGACCCCACAGAGTCGAGCTTTTCAGTTCAATCAGCTGCATGTCGATGTCCTCTGTGTCCAACCACTTAACAAATCCTGCTGCTCATTAAGGCTTTCTGGTTTGATCAGAAAATAAAACATTGGTCCAAACACCTGAAAGTCCTGAAAACACATTGTGAATTCTGTCTCGAGTCTACGGATGTATCCGTGTATTTCCACGGTGCTGATGCTGCGCTGAGCGGAAAGCTCCTGAAGCTTTTGAAGTGTTGGAATGTGGAAATTTCAACATCGCTTGAAAAAACTGCCAGCTAGCAACGTCCCTCTCACCAGTAGGCAAAGTTATTTTTAGCCAATTACATGTTTAATCTGGTAGTTGGGGCTGTTAGCTAAGACACCGTCATTAAGAATTGGCACAACTATGCGAGCTGATTTGCGATGTGCACCGCTGGCCCATTTATTTTTTAACGCACCTCCTCAGATTAACTCACTGCGTGTCGTGCCCAGGGCTGGACTGGGACAACAAAACAGCCCGGGCATTTTGACTAGAGACCGGCCCCCCAGGTATTAAAGCCATAAAGCCTTTGAATGAAAAGAAACGCTGTGGTGACAGTGATGTACAGTCTTGTTGGTATATATGTATGATTTCTATACATTTTACATCAGATAAAAAGTTGGTTGTAACCTTCAGATAATTATTTAATAACAGCCAGACATTTTAAATGAGAATAAGAAAGTATTTCTTTGTGCCCCCCTTTCCCTGTTAATGCCCTACATGCCCCCCTGGCAACACTTTGCTAGATCCGCCCTGCACAGTTACCAGCTGTCAGCTACGTAAAAAAGGATCCTGGTGTTATTTGTCTCTCAGAAACAGTTCATAACTTCCCTTCAACTCATTCATGTCACCTAAAAGGTAAACCTGTTTCTCCATCACTGTTCAGCTCTGATGATTCAGTAAGGACATCTCCTGGTTTCATCTTCATGTTTCCCTCTCACCAGATAACCAAACGATATCATGACCAGCAGCTTTTATGGCTGTGGCTCCAGCAAACATCAGCTGATACTAGAAATTAATATTAAATAAATTCTAACAACAGCTGATCAAGCTTAAACTGCTGTTGTTTTTTAGCGCGACATCCGCTGGTTTCCTCTTTCTGGTGCAAAGTGAGCGATAAACAAACAAGAGAGAAAAGCCGATCAGCTGATCACTGATCAGTTTCATGATTGAAGTAGCAACAGGAGAGGCAGGGGGAGAGAATGAGAGAAGAAGAGGCAGCTGTGCAGCAAAGACAGAATAACTCCAGCTTTGTGTCTTTTTTTCCATTCTAGCTGCGTTCCTTTTCAGCTCAATACGAAACACGTAATATTTTCTCTGAATACGAGACAATTCGTTTTTTTACGGGACGGTTGGCAACTCTACTAACTAACTCTTATAAATAAAGTTCACTATCAGTAACATCATAGCTGTAGAGAAACTCTGTCATGCTAGCTAGCACGCAGTACGAGTTACTGTAACTGACGGTAAAAAGTCAGCACAACGAAAATAAACTCCACCTAAACTTGGTTTATATCTGACCCAGATAGACTGCAGGTCATAATTTCTTACCTGAAGTTCAGTTCACCTGACACTCAGACCGGCGGCTGCCTCGGGTCTCTCCTCTCCTGCCTCCCCTTTCCCTCATCCACC